TAAAACCAATAATCAGCTAGAATGGCTTACTTTGCATTGATCGAATCTCATATTCGCTATGGAATAGCTTTCTGGGGCCATTGTAATTAACAGTTACAGAATACGATAGGTGTGCTACAGAAAGGTCTTTGAGATACCTTACAAAATCTAAGCCGAGAGATCACTGCAAGCCTTTATTCATCAGCCACAAAATATTAACTGTCACCTGTTTATACATAATGGAAACAGTATGCCTAGTTGATAAAAATAAAACTAGCATGTACACTCCCGGAATAAATTGTCACAACACCAGACAGATCAATATGCTTTACTTGCCTATTCCAAAATTCACCTTGACTCTGCATTCTTGATTTATGAAAGTATTAAAGTATATAATCACCTTCCTACCATTCTGAAAAATAGCACAGATATCAATAAGTTCCGCACTACAGTTAAAGATCTTTCAATCAAAAAAGCTTATTTTTCACTCCATGAATTCTACAATGATAACCTGTAAATTCTACTTGATTTTCAATGTTCACCGAAACTCATCTGTCTTCTTGATGTTTTATTTGTGAAATTGCGATGTTTGTATTTTTTATATTTTATGTCATGTATTGTATTTCGTATCTTTTATATTTTATGACATGCATTTAATGTTTTACAAGACTTTGTCAATAAAATACTAATCTTCCAACAATAAAGCATATATTGATTGATTGATAATGAGAGCCGATAGTTGTGGGTTCACAGATGGATCAAAAACACCTTCAGGCTCTGGTGCAGTGTTTTCAGTTGCAGACCCAGGACAGAGATATCAACCTGAGATTGGTAGAATCCAACCTCATACACAAGTCAATAAAAATATTCTCGGGCAGTTAAGCGGCGTTGGAAGCTCTTGGCTCCTACTGATCAACATCTAAAGTGGTAGCAAATTGCCAAAAACGTCTCTCCTCAATAGAAAGACTCAACAAATCATTTCCGGTCTAGATTCTTGACCATACCGGCCTAAAAGGCAATGAGGTTGCTGACTCCTTTGGCAAAGGAGGGGCTGCAAGTAGCTTCATCGGACCAGTACCTGTCATTGGTTCCGCTTTAGGCTTTGCCAAACAAAGTTCGAACACCTGGATGGCAAGAAGATTTATGGACTTCTGACAGAATCTTCCAGGATTATTGACCCTTTGAAGCTTGATACCAAACAGTTGTTGGACTACACTGCCGTGCTAAGAGAAAACATAACTTGATTCAGAAATTACAAGGGATGTCTGTACCCAAAAACAGACTCAAGTTTTGGGAGGAGTTACCGGAGACCGAAGAAGAAACCGGATTAGATTGAAGTTTCTAATAAAATATTTCAATCATCAAAAACTGATTTTACTGATTTTCCATTCTCAGTTCTCACGAAATATTGTGAATAAATGATTTTTTGTTTCCAAAGAATCCTAATAAACATCACTTATTCATTTGGTGAGTTCATTTCCCAAGTCGATATGTCGTATATGATTCTTCCAAAGGCAAAAAGTCGTATCTCTCACAAAAATGTGACTCAAGTTCATTTCATGGTGAGGCATTATAACTTAGTGCAAAAGTCGCATCTGTCAAAGTCATCAAATTCTCTTGAATAGTAATTTAAAATGTCAAACTATCGAATCAATAACGACTCAATACACTAAACGACAGTTCTCCAAAAAGTAAATTCTGAATACAATAAACACTGATATTCCAATTGGATTTACTAATCTCCAAATAACTCAAAATTCTTGCAAAACTAAATACGACTTCTTGTCTAAGCACGGCAGTACAGTAAGGATGAACTACGATGTTTAACAGGCCTTCTTACAGGTCAATGTCATTTGAATCGTAATATGCAGAGACTCTGACTGTCGAGGAAAACAGTGTGTGTCGCCTCTGTTTGAAAAATGATGAAACAGCAGAGCATACACTTTGTGCCTGCCCCGCTGCGGAACAATCAGGTTTTCAGAGTTTGGCAGAGCCGCACTCTTACTATCTGACCTGAAAGATCACCCACCATATAAGCTAATCGGCTCACTCACTTTTGAACGAACCTAACCTAACCTGTTTCTGTTGAAGGTGAATATACGTGTTATCGAGAATCTGTCAAACTACGCAGAAACGCTACGCAGCATAGTCTGGGTGGACTCTTTAACTGACGAGCAAAGTAGCTGGGCATTGGTTAAACCTTTCTACGATGACAGTCCTGATCCGTTTGTTTTGGCGGCGTGGTTGTGTAAACGTTTAGAAGAAATCGTTTTGTTTGGTTACAAGTATTGGGAGGAGAACCTGATTGCTATCGGAAGGTTGAGAGGAGGTAAATTGAAGAGGTTAGATATTGCCGAGCCTGATATAGTCAAACGCCCGGGGCAGGATCTGGCAAGCGCTTTACTGGTAAGTCTTGTTGATATTTCGCTGAGTAACTCTGAAGGATTCTTTCTTGTAACTTAAGAAACTTGGCGACACTTCTATTTTTTATATAATTTGGTTCATGTTGCATCAAACACCATAAATACATAATATGCGTCATGGAATTTAATCAGATATCATCCACAAGATTGCCAGTGACAATGTTCCATGTAAGTGAAATTTTATCTCTTTCAAATTTATTTGTAGCAATCCTGTGAGTGACATCTGATTCAATTCCATTGGAATTGGAGTGCATACTGAATAGGAAAAACTATTTTTTATAATTCAATGATCATATAAAAGTAGTTGTTTCGAAATTACTTGTTTTGAGAGGGTTTTCCTTCCAGTTTGTGTCTGAGAGTTACTTCTTTGCATGATCTACACATCTTTGTAAAGCGTTTATCTTGAAATTAATTCCTTTCTTCCTTTTTTTGGAAGGTTCCCACATTTTTGTTTAAAGATGTAGTTGTAGAAATCCAGACCTTTCCTATGAAGTAAATATTAATATGCTTATTTGATTTAACACCAGCCACTTTGGCCTACCTTCCCCAGAATAGAATTCAATATCACAATTCAGTGTTTATATGAAAGTAGTTGTTTCAAGAAGACCTTCTTTTCCAGTTTGTGTATGAAAGTAACTTCTATGCATGGTCTACACATCTTTGTAAAATATTCATTTTATAATTGATTGCTTTCTTCCTTCTTTTGGAAGATATCCACAATTTTTGTACAAAAAATTGAGAAGTAGAAAGCTGAAACTTTTCTTTCCCAAAACTAATCTCACTTAAAAATATATATTATTTAACTTTCTTTGTAGGACATTCCAAATAGCATCGACAAACCTTGGAAGCCGGTACAAGTGTCCGAACTCCACCCCGTCATTTGCAACCCCGTCGAGGGTGATTCCGATGAGTACCTCTTGCCGCTAGTACTAGCGGATCTGCACTAGTTAAGTACAACATTTTATGAATCCCAAAACATCCATCTTTTATTTCAGCACTCGATTAGATTTTATTTATTGAAGGAAACCAAGATCGAAACAAAATACATTTTTGTATTGATTCATTGTATATAAAATGTGTGTTTTTAGGAAGAGAGTTTTAACAGCCTTCGATTAGTTGATTCAGACTACGAGAGGCTGTGTTTACCGTAAGAGTGAGATATCCGTTTGCTTCGTTGTTCTTCTTTGTGTCGGTGACATATTTTTACTATCTGACGATTGAAAGTTGAACACATTTGAGGTTAACTTATAGCGCATTAAAAAATTTCAAATGTAGATACCTCTGGAACTCTTTTCGAGTTAATAACATTTCAGGAGTTCACGCTATACTCGGATAAGTCAACATAAGAAGCTCTTTTCAATTACTAGATCAGTTGAAAACTGATCTTATACCTGATCGCCATTGGAAAATCGAGTTTTTCTTGAAAAGAGAAATGAAATACCTCTCGAATATGTTTTAACACATGCTAAAAAGTAATATGAATATCAGTAACCAACTTCCACTTCCTTTCACACAACACTTTTATTTCGTTTTGTTCACGTATACAAGATGAATTATATAAATGTTTACACAGTATATTTTTGTAGGAATCAATTAGAATACGATAAAAAACCTGACAGGATCAGTAAATGATTATTCATAATGATTGAGCGTAAAATCTCAATTGACAGTCACTTGAATTTTTTTAGCTCGCTGGGTGATCAAAAAAATCTATTCGCACTTTTTTATTATATCAATTTTTTCCGAGAGAGTTCAGGTTTACAACAGGATAATTAGCCACAATTGCAGCAAACTGATTTATTAAAAAAAGTAGTAGTGCACAATGACAAATTTAATGATTGAAATGTCTCATAGATGGCGCTGGAATATGACCTGCTGTAAAACTTGATTGGCAAATTAGTGGAATGATACTTTGATGGGTTATTCATTCAAGAACGGATTTATCATATGAGCTTATGTCGACAGTGTCGATATGAAGTTGTATTCTATCAAAATGTGTTTCCTAAACATGTGATACTTGCCACTTTTTGGGAATCGATAGAGAAATCATAAAGAAACTAACTAGATCAGCAAATAATTGTGCTGATTATTCAAAAGCATTAAGTGCAAAATGGCTATTAATTTCATTTACCCCTTGGTCTAAATATATGCGGCTTAACCAAGAATATTGCAAGTAAAAAAATCTCCATCTGCTATTCTAGTTCAACAACTACTTGCAATTTTTGATACTCATCAAAGAAACATGGAAAAATTTGACTCAATCAGTAAATGATCTGGTGAATTATTTAAAATGGTTGAATGTAAAATCGTTATTTGACATTATTATTTATTCTGTGATCAGCCACAAAAAATACTTAGTTATTTGGAATTCCACTTCTTTAAAAAAATAGGTGAGTATGGTTTCATGTTTAATATTCGAAATTAGAAATCTGACGAATTTTTTTCACGAAAAAATATCTTTCAAACGAAACATTCATTGAGGTTGGATCGACGCCATCTAAGCCAGAAATGAAAGTAAAAAATAAAAAATATTGAAACTTTGCCCGATTGTGATGAAAAAGTGGGTATTAGAAATTGAAAAAAAACAACATTTTTTTAACGTTTTTCAAAATTCTAAGAAAAAAAACAAAATTATTGATTTTTTGATGTCAATATATCAGTGTGAAACTAGCAAGCTGAACCTTTATGGGCCACCGAAATTGTTAACCTATAATTATTTATTAATATTCGATAGTACAAGTTTCCATTAATATTTCTGTGTTAAAGACCCACTCAATCAAGTCTTCGGAAAACGAGAAACAAATTTTGGTTTGGTTTTTATAATATAACGTATTCAAAAAACTCGCTTTAATGTGAGTTTTCCACCCTAAAGTGTACAAAACCGCGACATGTGTTTCGCTGTACAACAGCATCTTCAGGCGTCACAAAACTGTTTGAACAAATTCTGTGTTGTGCTTTTATAGTAATTTGAATAATTATGAATATTACTACCTGCCAAATTTCTACATTAAAAATGCATTACCTAAACTATATACCTATCTGGGAACAACTCATAAGACTGGGGAATAATGAATAAAATTTTATCTACTTTTAAGATCTGTCCTAATTATCAATTTCCTCCTTGCAAACTAAATTCAATAAAGGTGAACAATTCAAATCTATTTGATCATTGAGCAACCAAATTTTTATGTCTATTGTTTTTAATCTTTCTCTTTCCAAAAGATGCTTGGCAAATGTTGATTTATTCTTCCCATTGCCCCTTTCCACAGGGGCAAGAATTCAATCACAAACAATTTTGATGTATTGCATTTGGAAGAGAAAGGTCAACCTTTTGGAATGTTTAGAAATCAATAGAATCAAAAATTCGGAATCTCAATGTTCAAATAGATTTTAATTGTTTGCCTTTATTGAACTTAGTTTAATTGGTAATTAGGATGGATGTTGAAAGTAGGTCACAGGTAAAACATGTATTCATTATTCTTCAGTTCAATGAGTTGTTCCTAGAAAGGTAAACATTTTAGGCAATGAATTCATCATGTAGAAATTTGGCAAGAAGTAATAGTCATAATGATTCAAATTACTAAAAAAGCATGACACAGAATTTGTTCAAATACTATTGTGACGCACTATTACCGTGTAGCGAAACACGTGTCGCTGTTTTTTAAACTTTCAAGTGGAAGTCTCACATTAAAGTGTGTTTTTTTAATACGTTTTAATGGATTTTCATCAAATACGGTCAGTTCTATCATATGTTCATAATATAAATTTTTAATGTGCTCTCTAGTTACTAAAATAAATGTTTCGAAAATCAATAGGAATAAATAGTGTTACTTGTGAATATTTTTTCATAAGTTGGTTGATATTATCATAGCCTGAATGTAAATCGAAGCAAACGGATCTTTTCTCCGAGTGAGTCAACCGATCGTAAGGCTCATTACAGTTGGGTGAGAAACAGTTGAATTTTACTTTACGAATGGATGTTATGTTTTAGTTATTTAAGTTTGAATACCTTGATGAAATTCTATAACGACTTTGCATATTCCAACCGATCACCGAAAGACTTAGAATGCAAAGGTTGGTGTTCTTTCATTGATACAAAAGTAGAGATAAGAAGTAAAACATCTGTGATATTGAAACTCTTATTGAAAAAAAAAGCGAATGTAACAACGACTGTTCAAGCAAATAAATGGCTAGATCTGTTGCCAACTTAACAACCTAAGTACCTGTAAGAGATTTTCATATGAGATTAACAAAGGTCATCTATGACCATCTTTTTAAGATCTGATGATATGATCAGTTTTTTCTGTTTTGTTTTTTGTTTTTTCTATAGATCATTGAATATGCCAGAGTTAGTTCCTAGGCTGAATATTAATATATAGAGTCTTGGTATATTCTATGACGAGAGTTTATTTTAAAAATCTGTACGATTCTGGCAAATGTATTATGGAATTGCAGAACAAGTTTTTAATTGTTAGCATTTACTTTATTCAGAGAATCAAGTCTTGTCTCGTAACCTAACTTGTTGAGATTGGAAAAGTTGAAACTGTTGTTTTTAGGCCCATGTCTGTTGGAATTTCTTCCTGACGTTTCGCCAGCGCGAGAGGCTGGCATCTGCAGAGGTCTTTGCTATTGCTTTCAAGATTGGAGGTAACACAGACCTCTGAAGATGCCAGCCAGTCGCTGGACAAATGTCAGGAGGAAATTCCTGTGACTTCAGCCTCAAAACCTGAAACAGCAAATAATTTCAAGACATTGCCATGAAAGATTGGCTAAATCTAATACCTCTGATTCTGTACCACTAGATATTCGAAAGCTGTGTTGACAACTTTACAAAAAAAAATTGTTTTTTCCAGACATTCCGAGAGTTTTTATTTCATGATTTCTTCAATAATTTTAGACAAAACTGATAATATCGATATCGGTTGATAATTATCCATAACCTCTTTGTTTCCACTTGTAAAAGCTGTTCCAACTCTGACATTGTTTCAAAGGAAATATATGTATAAGTTCGAATAAAGAAAATTCTAGTTCTGTTACAATTTTAATAAGTTTTGTGCTAATGTTATCAAAAACAGGCAATTCCTCACTATCTAAATCATTCAACATCTTCCACTTCTTCACAAGAAAGGCTTTAAAAAACATTGAAATAACTAATGTTGCGTTTTCATAATTATTTGATTTATAGTTATAGTTCTCATATTTTTTCAATTTCGTACATTCCCATTGTTTTTCTTATTTTCTATATCTCTATTTTTTCAACGGAAAACTTTGTTCCTGGTAATTATAGCTTCATTTATTATTTCATTCATTTATTCTCTTCTTATAGATATAAAATCAGTTTTTAGACAGTGGGTTAGATTAGGTCAAAAGTCAGTGTGTCTATTCAACCCTCCACCGCAACCCGCAAGGGTTTATTGTGGTTTGGATAATGGGAGTCCAAACCTCTAACATTATGAGTAAAATTGAGAACTAAGACCGAGTTTAAATTGAAAGCAAAAATATTGTAAGAGATCAGTCTATTTTTGGTGAATTAACAATTAAGGTATGCTTTTAACTCTTCTTTTGAATATGAGTGTACTGAAATGTGATATCAAATTCTTTTATTACAATATTGGGTGACACAGACTTATGGTACACCCCTTTTCTATTTCTTCAGCCATTTTTACGAAATTCGCAATATCGAATATGCTCACAAAGAGGCACTTTCTGACGTAATGGGAGATTTTTTAACTTTCTTTTTTTCCGGAAATGACTTCAACGCTTGATTTGCAAATGAAACACACTGTATGTAATGAAATTTTTGAAATTAACATCATTTTCTGAATACAATGATACCTATAGTTGATATTTGAATAATGAATTGGGACAAGTGGTTCTGACAGGCGGCCTGCAAAATCACCTGACCTAACTCCTTTAGAAAAACATTGTGAATGCTCCCCAATAACCCGTGAGGACCTAGATGTACGAGTAAGGCAAGCCATAAACATATCAGATGGAAACTTTTCAAAACAAAGTTTAGAGTTCAGAAAACAAAGATTCAGAATTCTGGAGAGCAGTTCCATGTGTGTCAAACAAATTTCCGGGTTTA